AGCAGAAATGGAGTTTGTGGTTAGTTTCTGGCAGCAGGTGGCTGCTCTGGACCCTCTCTGTAAATGAGCACAAATAAAAACACATTTTAGCCTGCTAGAAAGACGAAATGGTGCCCATATGGTTCTCTTTGCTTGCACAGAAGTTTATCCTGAAACCCATCCTCCAAGAGGTAAACGGGAGAGGTTTTTGTCTGTCTGGGATGCACTGTGTCCTGGGCATCTGCTAGACCAGGATTTCTTTTTGTTACGGGAACCTCTCTGCCCCATCTTCCCATTATGGAATTGCATGTTATCTGCTACACTGTAATCCCCCGGCCTGAAAAAAGATTGCTGCCTCGATCAACACATGACACAGATTTTTCTCTCTTGTATTTAAACATTTTGTTCCACTTCATGCTCTAAGAATCTGGTAGTGCCTATTTAACCCACTGGGAAAAGACCCGCATTCCCCTATTTATTTATTTTTTTTTAATGGAAACCACAATATCTAGATTATATTCTTGTATGTATGTTTTGTATACCGAAACTATGAAAGGAGAATAAGGACTTGGTCTCCTTGCAGCCTCAGCCCTTGCTTATGCTCACACCTGCAGGTTGTACATACTATTATTACATGCTATAGGCTGAAGCTTCGATCGGACATTTTCCCCTCCATACGGGAGTGAACCCTCTGCCCGGGCAAGGGCTCTCGGAGGGAGCAGCACCGTCTGACTTGAAGCATCACTTGTGTTTTGCCTGGTGAGGCCTCACTCCCTGAATGCTGTTCAGGGGATACACCACCTCCACAGTCGTAAAACCCAACAGTGAGAAGAGTAGGTTAAAGCACTTTTTTTTTGATTCCCCAGTAAATATAATATTTATCAGTTCACACTTCAGCATATAGCATACGCTTGCCACCCTGTCTGAGCCCCACGTATCATTTAAAAAGGTTGCAGTTCACACACACTAGCCTGAAGTAGACTTTCTTAGTGGCTTGACTTACACTGGCTAAAATCAGAGGTCTAGAGCAGAAGTTCCCTCTCCTGGTTTGCTTTGGGGAACAAAAAAAGTTTATTTCTAGTTGTGGAGGCTGCAGAACAAAGCCTGAAGATGTTACCTGCTTGCACCCTACAGGCAAGGGCACTGAACAGCAGAAAGAGAGATCCAAAACAATATTAAAGAGTCGATGATTTGGAGGGCTTGATTCAAGGTTTTTGGATGCTTAGGACTGGCAACATATCCACAGTCAGAAATGACAGGGCAGCTGGCGGGGAGCGTTTATGATGCTCCAGTTATTTTTCCATCTTTGAGCAAGCAGAAACAAACACTGCTCTCTAATTTACCCACGGAATTATTACTATTTTCCAAACCAGACAGTACCTATATGAGAGGTGAGCACAAGGCATAGCCTGGCTCTTCAGCACCAACAGCCCTGTGCCGATTCCTCCTCCTCCTCAGTTGGGATATTCCTGGCTGCTGTGTTGGCACCGGGTTCCCTTACTGAGGACCCAAGGGACTCCTCAGAGTGGGACAGTGTCCGTGCGAAGGGGACCACTTGTTTTCTTTTGGTAGGAGACAGGCAAGACCATTTTATTGCCGTATGACAAGCAGATGGCACAGTGAGGCGCTTTTGCTGGGTGCTGGTTTCTTCTGGAGCAATACTGGATTTTAGCAGAAATAACCTTTCCAGACAAATGACAAGCAAAACGATGGGACTTAGTGATGCCAATGGGTTGTAGTTACCATCAGCTACCAGTGAAAGCTTTGCAGGTCCGAGCTCCATACCGGGACACACATTTAACAGAGAAACAGCATTTTTTAGGCAAGGCGGAGGGTGCTGTTGGAGCCCGGGGCAGAAGGAGGGACCCTGATGACTGCCAGCGCCAAGGCCAGGGTCCCTGTGCGGGGACTGGTGTCCATGTGGGGATGGGTGCTGCTGGACCCCCTTCCGTGGCTTCCCAGCCTGAGCATCCCTCCAGGAAGACAGGAGAAACCAGGATGGAGACAGAGGGGGAAACCCCAAAGATTATGAAATAAAGTGCGGGCAGGGACGGGAGGGGGGACCCGAGTGTGAGCAACAGCAGAGGAAACGGGACAGCGTTAGAGGCCAGGGGCTGAGACTGGACGGACTGAAAAAAAGAAAGGAAGAAACCGCATGAGTCACCAGGCAGTTGCTCCGGGAATAACTCAGCACTAGGGGACACTATTGTACCAGAAATCGCAGCAGAGAAAAAGTCCAGTTTCAAGCAAGAAACGGAACACCTCACTTCCCTTTTTTAGGCATTTCTGACACCGACACAGTGGCACTTTGTCCCTCTTCCCAACTCCCGTGATTTTTACAGCCCATACAAATGCCGCAATTTCTAACTCACCTCATGATGGTAACGGGTCTTGTTTCTTGGCATATATTTCTCTCCAGATCCCTATTCCTGAGCAAAACTCGATCAGCATTTGCTGTCAGGATGGCACTTTTCTGCATGCCAAGGACAAAGTCACAAGCAGGGGACAACTGCCCTCACCTCGCAAGTGGAGATGGGTTTCTTCTGAGCAGATGGCAAAAGCTCCCTCCTCACCAGTTTTATAGCTAATCAACATGCTGCAGATCCTGCACCAATTTTGGGAAAAGCCAGGTAGAAAAAACATCATTCTCAGCAGACTTTTCTGTGCAGGAACCTCTGTGTGACGCATGACCTCACAAGACACCCAAATACATCATCCTCACCAAAAGCAGCACTTCTCTCCAAGTGTCTTACAAGCATTTTCTACCTATAAACACAAATTTATTGAAGTTCCAGGTGCCATTTGTTGGGGTGCTTCACCTCTGCAATACCCCAGTTGCCACCAGATGTGGTTTGGCTCCAGCAGGTCCCCACACCAGCAGCCTCAGATGGTGCCCTGAGTCCAGGGAAGTTGGACTACAGCAAAGGCCAATTTGGCTGGACCAAACTCAGCTCCAAGAGGCTGGGCCAGCAAGTCCCCCAACATCTCAGCCCACTCCAGGTGCTGCCCTCAGCAACTTCTATGCTGCTTAGACTAAGTTTTTATTATATCATTATAAATGATTATTATGTGAATATTACACTGTACTGCTGTGTGTAGATAAAAATGTATTGTAGGGAAGAAGAGTCTACATGCAGAGACTTTAAAATAAGACACTGAAAACAGTAATTGTTAAAATTTAACTTGCAACATTTTCATTTAATCTTCAGCAATCTTTTTGAATAGTCTTTCCTATTGCACAAAAAACACTGCCATTTCTCTTGCCATAACCATTGTCTTGTTTAAAAAAAAAGGTGAAAAGAAAAAACCCTCTGTTACAATAAAAATGTTTTGCAACACGCATATATATAGCTTTACTGTACAATATTTTAAAATTTGGGAATGTGCGTATTATTTTTACGTATTCTGAAACTCAGTTTTCCATGACGATATCTATTTACAGTTGCACAATGCCTTTAATGCTGAGACACAGCTGTAACACTCAATGCTAACCCTTGAAAAGATCTTTTAGCCAACTCTCCTCTTAGACACTTTCTCAAAGCAGTCCATGGTTATATCATTGAACTATAAGCTCTGCCCTCCTGTGGGTTTAGGGGGAACTGTAACACTCCTCTACATGAACAGCTTTCAGCCCTTTTCCACTTTACAGATCCTTCACATTTTCTAAAGGGGTTTCAGATCTTGAAAATTCACATCTGTAAACTGATATGCAAGTGAATTTGCTTTTAAGTGCCTTTTGCCGACCCAGGGATATGCAGATTATGGCGTAAAGAGTGAACTTACACTCTTCTGTGTATCTGTAAAGATGATTTCTCAAGCACACGCCTCCCCCAAGCCAAACTCCTTTTACTCACTCTTATTCTACAGTATTAAAATGGTTTTCTTTGTTTAAGATAACATAAAGTAACTTCATAAATACCATATCAAAACATGCTTGCTATTCATTTATCAACTACTTTTCAAACCAAGAGTCTTAATCCTACAAGAATTTCTATTTCTGTCCTGATGTATCACACATCTCGGGCTGGGCTCTGCTCCAGCAAGAGGCAGGCAGCACCACTTTTCCATGGATTCACTGGAAAAGCACAGGAATGTTTCCCTCTGTCCAAGATTTTGAAGTTTTTCTTTGCACAAGAAACATAGCCTGACCAGGTTTTTCACCATACTGTACTCAAAATAAGATTCACCCATGTCTCATCTGGACTCAGACTCTTGATCTCCAGGTCCTTCCTAGAGACCTTCCCAAATTCTTTGGGATCTTCCCCTCTCTTTCTTTGAAAAAAGTTTCAAATGCACATTAGGATACTGCAATTTTAAAACTGCTCCCACAGAAAAGATTTTTCCAGAAATTCAGAAAATGCAGGCAGATCTGCTGCCCACGAGAGCGTGTCCGAAGAGCTGCTTTGTGGGGATGGGAGAGGGGCTCAAGCCCAAGTTCCTGGATTTGCAGACCCAGGCACCAACCCTGCAAGTCTTACACCTGTAATTATCTTGAAAGCTGAAATCCAAAGCAGAAGCAGCTGGGACCAGGGCAGGAATTATCCTGGCCTCTGCTGTGTAAGCAATTTAGTGGCTGTTTGAAGATTCAGGGAAAACTCTGCCCTCATTATTTGTCAGTAGTTCCTTGAACGCCACATACAGCAAATGTGTTTACACTTCTCACTGACTCAGAGAATTAATCGTCCTTGTAGAGTTGTGAAATGAAGCAAATGCCCAAATACAGGCTTTGATGAGGTTCTTTATGCGAGTTTATCATCAGATCAATAGTTTTCTGGTGCTGGCTGGAGGTGGCTCCTCTGTACTAAGTGGCTGTGCATGTCCAAGCAGTGCTTGCTCCTGGGGAAGGGGCTTGCCATCCCTGATGGCAGCTGTACCACCAAGTAGCATAAAATCAGGGACCATCCGCCGTTATTATTACATATCTAACTGCAACAAGGGCTTTCAAGCCTCCATTATGTCCTCTGGAAGAGTTCCGAGATCTCCGTTGCCCATCTGAGATCTCAGGGGAAGGTCTAGCTTCCTTATGAAGGGGCCACATCTGCCTTTCCGTTCTCCCTATGGCTTTCTCCAAAGGGTTCCTCATCTTTCTCTCTTATGGAGAACTTCTTCCTGAAGGCTTGTGATAAGCTGGAGGAAGAAGCCTTCCTAAACGTGGTAAGTCTCTTCCGAAAGTTGCCCCCTGAGAAGAAATAAAGAAGTGGGTCAAAGCAGCAGTTGGCAGCTGCCAAAGGGAGCGTTACCACGACCGATTTCTGTAGGTATATGGCATCCTCGCAGCTGGTGTTCTTCAGCCACAGCATGTGGAGGTGGACTGTACGCAGAATGTGGTACGGGGCAAAGCTCACTAGGAAGGTGGCTGTCACAATGATGATCATCCAGACCGCCTTCTTGCGGTTAGCCTGGTTCTTCTTCAAGGAATTTTTCAGTAAGGTCCTTATGATCATGGTGTAGCAGATAGTTATGACAATAAAGGGCAAAATGAAACCCACAAATAGGGCAATAAAATCCAGGATCACGACCAGGGTTTTCTTCTGAGTGTTTTCTGGGGGTTCAAAGCACTTGGTCTTGTTGCCATGTTGGTACGACCCGTTTTGCAGAAAGGGAGTGCTTATCAGGGTAACAAAAATCCAGATGCCAATGCAGACAAATTTAGCCTTCTTCTCTGTTACCAAATTGATGTTCTGGACTGGAAAAACGATGGCTATGCAACGGAAGAAGCTCATTGCAGTCATGAAAAAAATGCTGCAATACAGGTTGACGTACAATGCGTATGAACTGATCCTGCATAGGAAGTCGCTGAAGAACCAGTTCCCTTTGTGGACGTAGTAGATGACACGCAGGGGCAGGGTGCACACGCAGAGGAAGTCGGACACGGCAAGGTTCAGCATATACACCTGGAAGGCTGTCTTTTGCCGGTATGTTTTTATGAGGACGTACAGCACAACGCCGTTGCCGACAAAGCCCATAATGCTGATCATGGAGTAGAGCGTGGAGTAGACTCGGTTTCGGAAGTCATCGATGGAGTGATGGCACGACAAGTTATCAAACAGCACCGTCATGTTGCCTGGCTGAGGCATGGATCCCGCCTGGCAATGAACGTCAGGCCTAAGGATGGAAAACTCAGGTGAGTTATGTAAAGCAGCACACGAAAATAAAATGCCATTATTAAATAGGAGGAAAAAACCTATCATCTCTCTCATACAGGAGACAACAGCTAGGAAGGGATGTGGATCTGCACAGATCTGTGTTATTATAACTATCCACTAGAGCCACCTTTCTTAACCTGATACTGACAAGTGGTAAAGATAAGAGTCACGTTTTCATAAGTCCTCAGTCCCGGTGGCATCCATCTTCCACTGCATTACTAAAAAGCTCTAACTCCTCAGAAACTAAGGTAGCTGCTCATTAAAACAGCAGAGAGGAATGATGAAGGTGGCAATAGCACTGTGCAATTTAAAATATAAAGATGAGGTCTGGTCCCTAATGACTGTTCAGTCCTGCTTCTCCACATCACCTAGCAAATGCTGCCTCCCTGGGCTCCACCTCCACGGCTGCCTGCATAAGGACAGGTCACTGAAGGAGAAAGTCTGCAAGAAGGTTTCTGAAACAGCAAAGAAAAACTGTTACAAAAAACCATTAAAATAACCCCAAACCCTTTGCATTGAAGGCAGAAGATAGTTCCAAGCCAGAGGCTGCTCAGTGCACGACCAGATGTTTGTCAGCTCCCCAAATTCTGCATTGCTCTCCTCTGCTCACAGAGCTTTTTAAGCTTTCTTTGTTCATAAATAAGTGTAATTATTAGCTTTGTAAGTGATACCACCTATTATATCTGACCAACAGGAAGGATTGCTGTAGCGGAGAGGATGCTGCAGGGCTCCAGTTTCCCTGGCATTGCCTGGGCAGAGGCTCTGCTGCAGCGCCGGGCAGGTGGAGGGAGAAGCTGCTGGGAGGTTCATGTCAAGGAGAACAAACCTCTCTGTCTGGCAACAGCTGCACTATCGAGGTAACTCCCTAGCAAAGGGTTTCTTCTTGGGTTTATTCTTCCACATTGCTTTCATTTACGTTAGCAGGTCTGGGGCTCTCCAGAGTGGTCAGACCCTACAGCCAGGGAGGGTTTTCGGATCTGCCCAGCCAGTCTTTTGTGAAATTTTGTTGTTTCCTTTTGGTATTCATTTGAGTGCAGCGAGACATGACACTCTTAATTTGAGCTGTCCCAAAGTAAAGCAAGAGAAAAATACGCGGCTACTTATTTTCCCATTCATTTTCAATTTCTAATGGTTCAGACACAGAATCTCACTTGCAGTCTGAGACCATGAAAAACCCTGATGATCAGAACTGCAGAATACGTGCAGGCTGAAACAACAGGACTTCAGAAAAATAACGATGAAAGCAACAGCTGGGACAAGATCAGTTATGAGAACCCACACCATTGTATGTGCTCAAAACTGGTGTTACATGGTACGTATTTTCATCCATAAAAATAGTCTGGCAGCATTAGAGTATCTGTCTCTCTCCAGGATCTACTGGAAGTTCAGAACCACACTGGGATGTTCAAGGCTTCCAGGTTTCAATCAAGTTTCAGCTATTTGGGAGTTGTACTCTTAAAACAATTCTTTTATTGTCTGCAATGCACAACATACATGAAAGCGTGCAGCTATCAGCAAGGCAGTACAGATATGAGAGGAGGCAAAACCTACACAAGAGAGGATATTTCTTCTCCTTGGGCTATTTGTGGACATGTCCGGGTGTGTGAGCGATTGACTGTGCAAATGCACAAATGTCTTTGGCCAGAAGAGGCAGCCATGACTCAACACGGCTCTACTTGGCTCGCTCAGAAGCCGTAGATGGGTACATTGTACATCATCACTTACAGTTCACTGCAGCTTGCATAAACGAAGCTTATCTAGAGATGCTCATTGCAAATAACCTGTTAATCAGACAGAGGCAATGAGTTTGCAGCCATGTCCTCCCCCTGCCCCACAAATGCCACCTCTCAGCAGCCTGGTTCTGGTGTTGGCAGCATGTAGACCTCAGCCCCAGCTTGGATGACTCTGGGCTCCTCGCGATGGAATGCCTAGTGTGGGTCTAAACACCAGAGATTGTCCCCGCCAGCCTCTCATGGCTCCAGCCACCCCTCCTCTGCAAGGACCAGCCAGTAACACAGAGCTGCTGCTCCAGTGGAACGGTGCAGAAGAGATCGAGCCCTGGGTCATGAGGGAGATGCTGAGAGATCCGGCCTTCATCCTCGCTTGCCTGAGGTCTTCACTTCAAACTTGAGGTTCAAGTTATAAGAAGAGCATCACTCCAACAATGTTTGAAAATCTCCAAGATAGGGCTAAAATTAAGTTTGCGGTAACATTGGTCTGATTTTAACCAATTGTTTGGGAGTGGCAGGTAGTGCAATATTCTCTGGAAAAAAAAAAAAGCTGTATGATCCCCATTCCCTGTTTTTGTCTGTCAAGAAGATCTGACTTAGGTGATGAAGCTGTCATGACCGTTACTCTTACTGCTGGGTTAATGCCAGCAAGCGGACCTGCCGAGCAAAACCATGCTATGCACTGTAAAAGCACATAGAGATTAGTGGCTCAATTATCTCATGAAAACTCATACAGATACAATCTCTGTACTTACCAAGGCATCGTTCTTTCTCAGACATTAAAAAAACCCCCCACAACCAAGATGTTTGAGATTAAGAGACTTGAATGATCTTTTGCACACTGAGGCTTTTTTCACCTGCCTGCACCTCCAGGCAGTTATGGTCAGCATGCAGAATGAGGACAAAAATGGGACAAACCAGGCTGTGTGGCCAACCCAGTGGCTAAACAGAGACATTTTGCCTAAAAGGGGTAATGTGATGTAATACTCAGAGAAGGGAGGAGGCTGCAGATGGAGAAAGGCACAGGAACACCGGGAAAGCTGGGCAGCGTGGGCAGAACCTGCGTCTCCCAACAGTACATTTTGGGTCAGGTTCCCGCGTGCCTTTGGAGAGGGCACGAGCGATCCACAGCTGCAGAAGGTACTGCTACCTTCCTGCCACCCTGGATTTCTCTTCCCTTCTGCCAGTTTAGCTATCCTGCCTAAGAGAGAACCAAGAGACGTTGGTAAACATCTCAGCCCATCATTTGCTCATTAGATAAACTTCCTTGTTTAACCTATGCCTATTTGTGCACACTTCTTAAGCGGTACTGAGCTGGATTATAAACTGTCTACCTCCTTTGGGGACTAAATTTCAGTCTTTCAGCTGCTATTCTTAAAGACATTATCAGACAGTGAACAACCATGCAAAGTATTTGTCTAAAAGACAACCAAGACCTGATATCTATCACATTTCCAAACACAATTTAGAATATCGTTTGTAACCAAAAGGAAAAATTATGATTACCGTATTGAAGTGGACTGCTACAGTATGAGAGCTTCACACCTAGAAATGTATCTGTAAAAAACCAAAAACCCCAAGAAACGCCATTTCCTAGCTGAGGCTTTAGACCAGCTTTGCACCGTGAACTGAAGACAAATATAACTTCTGCCACTTTTTATTTGTATAATCGTAGTTCACGGAACCTTTTGTTTATGTGCTGGTGAATACAGCTCATTAGGAATGTACACAAGTGAGAGGGAGCAGTGATGGCTGGCTGAGAAAAGTATCCCAAACTATGCAAAACCCTGAACAACTGTTATTCTCCAAGTCCCACGCAGCGCAGCTAGATTTATAGTAGGTCATAAGTACATTATACTAAATTTAACTACACAATCAAAAAGTATACCACCAAAGAAGATACTATCATTTGTTTCAAACTCAGACATAAAGCATCACCAGTCCTCAGGAACACCCTGAGCACTGACATGAGCTGAATTTAGTGTTCGGTGGGAGAGGCGTAGGAACTGCCTCAAAACACCGAAAGTGCTTCACAGACATGAACTCTCTTCTGCCAGGGGAACAGGGCTGGGGCGAGGAAAGAGGAACAGAACGAATAATCGAAGCAAGCAGCAGACGCTAATTAATAACCCAGCTCATTAGTACGAAAGGCTATAACCGAGCTCTGTGGGTATTGAGCCCGGCTGCAAACCGCTCCCTGCGAGCGGGACACCGCAGCGCCCGCGGCCACCAGAGGCGGAGGCAGAGCCCGACCAGTGGCTGTCCCGTCCCGTCCCGTCCCGTCCCCCCACGGATGACCCCCGCCGAGGACTCACCGCCGCGAAC